TGAGAGCATAATTTTAAATGATTTCCTAGATTCCATTATATAGATTTATATATCTTAAAATTAGTCAATTTTTGGTATTGTTTCCAATTATCCAGTATCATAATCAATGTGTTTTATGAACTTCATTAAAGTTATTGCTTTAATGGAAATGGAGTCACTTAAATAAGGTGAAATATGTGGCAGTGAATGCCTAATTTCCTTAAAGATATTTTTCACCAAATTGTGATTTCATCAGTAGTACATGATGATGCTGATTTTCCAGCACATTACCAATTATGGACATTTTATTTTAAAGTAGTTTTCATTTTAAGTAAAAATTTTTACAATGTTTTAATTTTTTTTCTTTTAGCCTGTGAGGTTATACCTTTTGTTGTTAAAAAATAAATAAAACAGGATTAGAAAACATTAGAGTCCACCACATAGAATAAGTATCCTTTCATATGGTACAATATTAAAACAAATAAAGTTTGAGAAACACTGTCCTGGTCCAAATTAACTTCTAGCTGGTCTCTTTTCTCTCCAGGCAATTTATTCTCTATATCCTTGTGTTTGTTCCACCACTATATCTCGTAAGTAGATAACTTGTATTGATTTCACAGATGGGACTTTGAACTTTGGACTCTTGAGTTGAAACAGTTTAAGACTTTGGGAATGAAATGAATGTCTTTGCATGTGAAAAGGACATGAGTTGCGGGGGCAGGGGCAGAATATAATGGATTGAATTATGTCCCCCAGAACTCACTGAAGCTTGAATTGTGTCCCCTAAGGTTTATGTATTAGAAACCTAGCCCCTACTGTGACTGTTAAGAGGGTGGGAAATCCTATTATGGTAATTGAAAGGTGTAGCCTTGAAGAGGTGATTGGAATGTAGGGCCCTGCAGGAGTGAATGGGTTAAAAATGGTGGTCAGGGGTGTGGTTCTGAGGACTTTGAAAGAAAAGAGAGGAGAGCTCTGCTCTCTCTGCTCCACCATTTTCTACAATGTGTTACTCTGCCATCACTGTCACCACTACCAATGCCTTTACCAGCTGTGTTCCCTGGACATTGGACTTCCCAGCCTCAGAAAATGTAAGCAATAAATATTGTTTTTTCACAAATTATCCAGTTCCATGTATTTTGTTATAAGCAATAGAAATGGACTAATACACCTTGCTACTCAAAGTGTGGACAAGCAGTCTCAGAACTTGTGCAGAATCCCAGGCTCCATCCCAGACCAGTTGAATTCGAATCTTCATTTGACAAGATCCCCAGGTGATCCTATCACTTAAAAGTTTGAGAAGCACCAATCTAACTGGTTTTCAGAGTGACTTTTCTAAAAGCATACATCAAAAGCTATCTCTACTTGCCTTAAATGTTTCAAAAACTTCCTATTGCTCCTAGAAAAAAAATGCAAATTTTAGGCTTGTGATATACAGGGTTCTGCATAATTTGAACCTCTCCTGACTCTTAAATCTCAGCTTTTAGCTCTCTTTTCCTGGCTCTGTGTGCAGAACCAACACTGGTTTCCTCTCAATTCTCTGAACTTGCCATGTCATTTGCCACATAGAGTCTTACTGTTTCATCCATCTGAAATGTTCTTCCTTCAAATCTGGAGAGCCTGACTCATCTTCATCCATCAGGTCCCAGCTCAAATATCACTACTGTAGAGAAAGACCTGAAGGACTAATGCAAAGAACTTGCCTATATTTCACATAACTCAAAATTCTCTCAGAACAGAGAAATGCCTATGTAGAGGAAATTTTCTCTAGAAATTTTTACAAGAGGGTTTCAACAGCAGATATAGGCAGGCAAGAGAAAGAACCCACTAACTCGAATGTAATCAATTGAAATAATACAGTTTGAGGAGGAGAATAGAAAGAAAGTAAAATGAACAGAGCCAAACAGACCGCGGGACATTATAAAATGTACAGACATAAGTATAACAGGAGTATGAGAAAATGAGAACAGAGATTAAGGGGGAGGAAGAATACTTGACAAAATAATGATCAAAACCTTCCCAAATTTGATTGAATTCATGAATTTACACATCCAAGAAGTTCAACAAGCACCAAGTAAGATAAAGGCAAAAAATAAAAAAATAATAAAAAATAATCCACAGTGAGGGACATCGTAATCTAACTGTCAAATGACAAAGACAAATTGAGAATCTTGAAAGCTGCAAGAAAGAAGTGACTAATAATATGCAAGGAATCCTTAATAAGATTAGCCATAATTTCTCATCAGAAATAATGGAAGTTGAAGGCAATGGACTGATACATTTAAAGAGCTGAAAGAAAAAAAAACAATAATTCTACATAATCATCCCTTGTTATCCCTGGAGGTCTCGCTCCACAACCCTCTGCAGATAACAAAAGCCAAGGATGCTAAAGTCCCTTATATAAAGGATGTAGTATTTGCATATAACCTACACTCATCCCCTGTATACTATGAATCACTTCTAGATTACCTATGATACATAATACAATGTAAATGCTATGTAAAATGTTGTTATAATATGTTTTTTTAATTTGCATTATTTTACTGTCATATTGTTAATTTTTATTTTTTGAATATTTTAGATCCATGGTTCGTTGAATCCACGGATGTGGAATCCAAAAATATGTAGGGCTGACTGCATATGGCAAAACTTTTTCAAAAATAAAGGGGAAATTAAGACATTCCAAGATAAACAAAACTTGAGAGTGTTCATAATTGTGGATCTTACCTACAAGAAACCCAAAAGGGAACCTTTCAGGCTGAAACGAAATAGCACTAGATAGTAACTTGAAGCCACAGAAAAAATAAGGAACAACAGTAAAGGTAACTACCTAGGTAAATATAAAGTCAGTATTTTTTAATTTTTAATTTTAATCTCTTCTTTTCTCCCCCATGACTTAAAGACAAATGCATAAACAATAATTATAGATGTATGTTAACAGAAACACAGTGGGTAAAGATGTGTGTATGTTTTCACATGTGCAAAAATCTCCTTTTTGATGTTTTTAATATGACTTACATATTTCAAATAACACAAAATTAGTACCATTTATAGTAGCGTTTTTCTTAAGATAAATTGCCTTTGAATGGGAACTTGCTTTCTAGTACTTTGAGGTTCATAAGACATATCTGAAAATATATTACTTTGGAAAGTGAAGACAGTTTCAAACAAATGGGGCAGAGGGCTATCATTTTCCTTTTTGGTTGATTGACAGAACCCTGTTCTTCAGGCATCTGGCGGGAGGGGTGGTTCACATCATTAGGCACAGAAGTTTTTGCAGGACAACTTGGATGCTATATGAATTCTGGCACTTTGCTAATATTTTGGCACCACCACCACATTTGATCTTTTAATGGGTTTATATTATCTTTTGTTATAAATCTGACAAAGAGGAATTCTTCTTACTAAGACTGTGCTGTGGGTCCACGTTCTATTTTTAAGGCCTTATGTTTGGTTTTCATAAATTTCCCAAGGCTGTGGTGGTTGCCAAGTTGTGTTGCTGTTACTCCTCCTTTGATTTTTCACATTTACTGAGACATGGCTGCTGTGATTTCTGTCAAGTACTGAGTACTCTTGGAGAAAAGGATTTCAGTATTAGCATCTTCTCCCACATTCTGTATCTTACACAGTTGTCTGTGAGAATGGGAAGGGTCTGACCAGGGCACCTTGGTGGATGCTGATTACCTGACTCTTGAGTAGAAAAGGCCTCACTGCATTGCTGGTCTCCAGCCACCAGCTCCTGCAGGACACAAAGCAGGCTGTGGGACAGAGGAGGAACAGTAGTTGTCTGTGCTTGTTTCTCTGTGTATCCAGTTAAGCTTCTTGCATAGATAGCCCTCTGATAGATCTGTTTGGTGGTAAGGTTATGATGAAAAGGCAGAGGGAGAGACCAGATCCATTAGCTTTCAAAATTAATTCCTAAATATCTTACACAAGAGAGGGGAATAAGAGAATCAGATGAATAAACAGGTACATTGGGTTTTATTTCGAGTCTAGGTACTGAAGGCAGTTTCATCTCTATTGCACTAACCCAAGTAAGGGATCTTTTGACAAAGATATTTTATTGGTGCAAAATGGAATGAAGAACTCCAAGCTCCTTAGTCCTTGGTATTATTAGAAAAGTGTTGCCTAGCCTGTGAGCTGGAACCATGCATATTCAGCCAGATTTTCAGCCATTCTGTTTTGAAAGGATTCTTTCAAGTCACAAGAAATTTCCTTTCAAATTGGAGATGAGGGAGTGGTAGAGGGGTATCTGGCCTGATACAGAGAGAAGCTGTGCAATACGAAATGCTCCTTGAATCACAAAAACCTCACCCAAATTTCCATAACAGAATACATTGTGACTGATTTTTCAGTGTAGGAAAGTAGCTATTTGGAATAACTGCTCTAACTCAGACAAGAGCTGACCTTAGATATAAAATCCATATAGGGAGGGGTATCTGGCCTGATACAGAGAGAAGCTGTGCAATACGAAATGCTCCTTGAATCACAAAAACCTCACCCAAATTTCCATAACAGGATACATTGTGACTGATTTTTCAGTGTAGGAAAGTACCTATTTGGAATAACTGCTCTAACTCAGACAAGAGCTGACCTTAGATATAAAATCCATATAGGCATATGCTCCCTCCCTCCAGCCTGCCACACATGTTTACCAGGACCAAATGCTTCTTAAGTATTTAATTTAACTAAAGTGTTAGATTTTTACCTTTAACAGCCCACATAACAAGAGTCTGCATTTGAATTTTCTTTGATCACCATCAAGAGTCCACATGAGGGCAGTGTTTTCTCAGGAATCCTGAGGAAAGCGCTCAAGGGCTCGTGTGTGTGTGTGTGTGTGTGTGTGTGTGTGTGTGTGTGTGTGTGTGTGTGTGTGTGAGAGAGAGAGAGAGAGAGAGAGAGAGACGAGGGAGTGGTTTGGCAGAGTAGCAGGGCTGGTGAAAAGAATCATTTTTCTAATTGGTAGAACAGATTCTTTTCATGTTTCTTAAAGCAGAAGAATTAGAAACATCTGAACTAGAATAATTTTTTAAGGTTGTAAAATTTGAGTCCTCAGTAAACCAGAGGAGAGAAGAATGAAGAAATCCTTGAGAGTTTTACTGGTGATCCTGTGGCTTCGATTAAGCTGTGAGTTTTGGGCACCTCTGTGGGAACTTAAAGTACAAAATTTGGAGTTATTGTCTATTCTAGGCCCTTGGGTAGAAACATGGATGTTTTTCCCCTCTAACTAAATGAGGGTGTGAAGCTGGGAAAAAGATAATTAAATTCTGGAGAGTAAGCATCCTCTATCCATCCAGTCTTCTTTTCTGACCGTCATCTTTTTGCACAGGTGTGAGGAGCCTGGAGGTGGAGCAGAATCCTGAATCCCTCAGTGTTCCAGAGGGAGCCACTGCCCCTCTCAACTGCACTTACAGTGACCGTGCTTCTCAGTCCTTCCTGTGGTACAGGCAGTATTCTGGGAAAGGCCCTGAGTTGCTGATGTCCACATACTCCAATGGTGACAAAGTAGAAGGAAGATTTACAGTGCAGCTCAATAAAGCCAGCCTGTATGTTTCCCTGCTCATCAGAGACTCCCAGCCCAGAGACTCAGCCACATACCTCTGTGCAGTGAGCACACAGTGCTCCCCAGACACCTGCCACCTGTACCCAAACCTTATGGGGTCCCAGGAGTACCCAATATAGGGCTTAGATTATAGGGCAGAGAAATTCTGTTTGCTCTCTAGATGCAAATGGAAATTAATAGTATGGAGTGTTTCATTGATTAGGGAAGTATTTTCATATTTCTGAAGATAATTGGCCCTGAAGGGAAATTAAAGACACAATATTGGTCTGGTTGAAATATTTTCCAGTCTTCTCTCTCCACTTTACTTTAAAACTTTTTATTTTGTCGAGGTATGGTTGACGTAGAAAAAAAGGAGGACATATTTAATCTGTACATCTTGATGAGTTTGAAGATATGTAAAACTCGTGACACCATCACCACAGTCTATGCCTTAAACATATCCAGCACCTCCAAAAGAGTCTTTTCTTCCTCTTTTTTTCTTTTGTTGATGTATGATTGATATACAGAAAGGTGCACATATTTAACATGTACATCTTGATGTCCACTCTAGTTTTATGCCACAACTTTACTTAATGGGATTGGTTTTATGATTCTTTTTACATATAAGAAAACATTTTAATATGATAATAGATATTCCCTCACAGTTCCTTACCTTGCTTCTTCCTTTTCCTCACCTTACTCCTTCCCCATTTAGTTACCAAGGCATTTGACAGTCATCGCTTCAGGAATGCAATGGCAAAACAGAAATGCAAAAGGAAGAAAGGAATCATAAAAAAAAACTGTGAAAAGTTGTAAGTCATAAATTATTTTAGCTATATCTCCCCACCCCATCTCTACCCTCAGCTGCAACTCCACTCCTGGATTAGAAAAGGATAAGTTTGATGGATAGATGGAAGGACTAGAGTCATAGGGTAAGAAGTAGTTAAAGCAAAAAGCCTAGACAGTCACAGAGATTAAAGATTAGAGAGGGTTTATGTTGCCATTTTGGGGTAAAAACAGAATAGAACTCAAATTTCTATTGGTTGTAATCTGTTACTAATGACATTGTTTATGTAGTCCAGGAGGTGGAAATAACCTGGAAATGGGAAATTAAGATTTCTGTTCAGTTTTGTTCACATAGTCACTGATGAAAAGGTGCTACCCAATTAGGATTTGCTTCAAATGCTAAATCTGCAGAACTGAGGACTTTGAACAAATATTTCCAAGTCACGGAAGACAGATTTAAAAGACAGTGAGGAAAAGCAGAAAGTTGCACTGAAACCAAGACCCTTAAATTTTAGTTGCCCTTTTATTGTGTGTCTTTTATTGTCATGGCACCCTGGAAGGAACCTGGGTGTGGTGCTATTTGAATATCTATTATGTTACTAATGGGCCATTTGATCTTGAGCTGTACTATTACATGTTTCAAGATTGGTTTCAGGATTAAATGAGATAATGTATGGTTTTAGGATGAGTTCCTTAAAAGCAGAGCCTGAATTGGGAATTCTCTGTCCATAATTTATTGAGGAAAACAGGTTGACACAGGGGTAAAGTCCCAGCAGGGACATGGTTCAGCTGGAGTCTTGATTCAGCCTGATCTCATGGGGAGCTCTGGGGCATGAATTGACCCCTCAAGATAGAGTCGATCCCTTCCATCTTGAGACAAGGGGGCCACACTGCTGAGCTTTTGTGCATAAGAATAAAGTACTCATTGACTGTGGTCTTTCTTGGAAATCCCTCCCATCTTGAGGCAAGGGAGCCACACTGCTGAGCTTTTGTGCATAAGAATAAAGTACTCATTGACTGTGGTCTTTCTTGGAGCATACTGGACAATCATGACTCAGTGGAAGAGGTCAATTTTCTAGGGAAGGGACAACAGTGAGGCAACAGTAGGCAACACTCACAGCAGCTGAGGATTGGCTACACTGGCCTGGGAAAAGGGATCGAGGCTGGGTACCAACAGTGCCAGCTATTAACATGGAACTCTCCGGATACGTGAGCAGCATTCATCAAATGGTAGGCTTTATAATTATTGTGTTCTAAATTTTATTTTTTTCTTTATTTACTGCAGTTATACAGCTGGTCTTATGAATCTTGAAGAGCTGAAATAATGTATGTTAAAGCACTTATTAACAGAAAAGATCTAAATAAATACAAGGAGTAAATATAAGGAAATATTTTTCAAAGCTAAGACTCAGGATGTTAAGAATAGTAAATAGGGAACCAGCATATTATCTTAGTTCCTTTTGGGAATGATTACCCGACATTCTGTCCATCACTTTGTTTTCAGATAGAAATTACTCTGATGATACACAATTGATGACTCTTGGTACCATGTGTAGAGAGACCAACAGAAAGAGATACCATCTCTACTTATAAACAACTAACGTTATATTGTCCTTGGTTTGTATTTAAGAATGAAGGACTGGGTGGCAGGATGGACTCCTTATGCCATTGTGCCATGTTCCCCGATAGGTTTCTTATTGAATGGGTTGCTTGGTCAGCACTATGGGCATGTGGGCACATCATGTGAATTGGCAGGCTTCTTACTAGGATGAATGAGCAGAGAACTGGCAATTAAGTTTCTACTCTCCTTTTTCTGCACCTAATGTCAGCTTGAAGGTGGTTTAACTCTGTCAACTATTCACACTAAAAACTTTAGCCTTCTCAGGTGGTTCATTTCAACTTTAGTGAAGATTAGATGCCCCGGGTAAAGACTGTCCTACTATTCTGTCACACATAAGTACATCAGCAGGTTGGAGAGTTCACAGGGAGGCTGGTGTACCTATTGCACATATTACCCCTCAGTTAACCTTTGTGTTCTGTCCCTCTCACGCTCCATCAGACCTACTTTTTCTCAACCCAGAACCTCTTCAGAATACCAAGGAGTAGGTTTCCTTTATTCACATTTCTTCCATAATCTCCTCATAGTTCATTCTGGGCTGTTCTTTTCTCCTCTGTTTTATCCATCAAGTTGCTCACATCTACTTTCCATCTAATTACAATTATTGATATATTACATCTTTTTATTACATTTAACATTACAGACTTAGGTTCATCCTGTTTATAATTATAAATTCTATTTCAGTATAAATTTTGGAGAAATAAGAAGAGAGTACATATGCTTAATTAGAAATTTTAAATCAGAAGTACAGCTTAGTAACATTTAAAATTTCAAATTGTACAATTTGACTGTACATGTGAGGGAAAATCTATAGGGAGTATCAAGGCATAGATCAGAAGCCCAAGGGACAACTAATTTCAGACTGCTCCAAGCCAATGGAGTATATAGAAAGGAGTAAGTTTGTTCTGACTTTGTGAAAAGGATCCCTGTTGGCCAGATTCTCATTTTGTCTGTGATTTTTTCCTTAGTTTGTTATTTCACTTTTAGAATTCAGTGATCTCTATGCTGAACTAGATTGTGTGAGGATGTCTTCTCCCTCAGATTTTCATCTTATCCTTAGCACATACAGCAGACTGCCCCTGTTCCACAGGCCCTGTGCCCCACCCACACGGGCTGCTGCTTGCTTAGCTCTGTGCAGTGTCACTGTCAGTGTCTCCCACATCTTCTATACCTTCCACAACTTCCTCTCGTTTCTGGTCTGCTGGTTGCATTCCTTCCAGCTTTATTGAGTTCGTGTAGGTTCACTTTTCTTTTTCTCTCCTTAATTGTTTCCAGAATCACTATCTACATGTCATATTTTCCTTACCCTTATGGTTCTCCTGTTCTGGTTTCTCCACAGATGGGCCTCTGTCAATGTTCTATATAGTGTGGCATCCCCATAATTTGGCGTAATATATCAGTTTATTCTGAGCATTGACAATTGAAACAGGACTCTCTCTTTTTTAAAACATGAAAAAAGTTATTTCCTCCTAGCCTTACAAATATCAAACTTGTTGAACGGAACCCAGGGAGTCTTCAACACTTTTTCTGCTTGACAGAGAAAACTATTGTCTTTATTAATTTGTATTAATGAATTAATTGACAATTTGGTCCAGGTTGATTTAAGTATCAGTCTCTTGTCTAATTTATTTATTTCCTTTAGCACCAAATAAAGAAATAATCTCTTTTACACGCTCTGATGAAGCTAAGGGCCATAGGAAGCTCAGATCAGCCTGCAGCAATTGATCTTCTCTGCATAATGGAAGGCTTTAAAAATATATATTTAGAGGGTCTCAATAGTATTACAAAGTCTAGAATATTGTGTTCTGTGACTAAATTCTCAGTGAAGCAAATTACTCTTATATTTTTACACAACTCACATTTCTCATGTATTTTAGGATTAATACCATGTACTACAGAAGGTGACATTATTGCAGATTCGGGAAGGAAGAAACAAGTTCTGTAAAACAAATTACTCTTATATTTTTACACAACTCACATTTCTCATGTATTTTAGGATTAATGCCATGTACTACAGAAGGTGACATTATTGCAGATTCGGGAAGGAAGAAACAAGTTCTGTAAAAGTTTTGATATCACATCTGTGAAACGAGGAGGAAACAGCTCTGTTGGATCGTCGATCCCACCGCTGGCCTCCAGAGGGCGATGTTGCACACAGGAGACATCTGTTATAGAGGTGGATCCTATTCACCCTCTGAGCCCCTCCTCCCTGCAGGTGGCTGATGCATCCTCACTGATGTCTGTGTAGATAGGAACCTGTGACGAGAACACAAGGCCAGAAAGCATCCAGTCTCCTTAACGGAGAGCCTCTTTCTAACCGTTTTTCACACTTGTCAAATCAAGGGGCTTGTCCAGCCCAGCCCTCCACTCCTCCTGGCTGCTGAGGCTCAGTGACCTCGGCTAGGGTCCCACCTGTTCAGGATTTTGCAGTACTTCCACTGCTCAGCCATGCTCCTGCTGCTCATCCCTGTGCTTGCGGTGATTTTTACCCTGAGTGAGTAATATTTCATTCCCTTTCTTCTTTGCACGAAAGTGACTGTGTTCAAATTGGATCTGAATAGAGACACCTTTCTTCATAGCCGTGTCGGTGCTGCTTTTACTTACACAGCATTGATATTGCAGGAGGAACAGGAGCCCAGTCAGTGACGCAGCCTGACCGCCACCTCACTGTCTCTGAAAAAGCCCCTCTGGAGCTGAGGTGCAATTACTCATCTTCTTTTTCACCGTATCTCCTCTGGTACGTGCAATACCCCAACCAAGGACTCCAGCTTGTACTGAAGTATGCATCAGGGAACACCCTGGTTAAAGGCATCAAAGGTTTCGAGGCTGAATTTTTTCAGAGTGAAACCTCCTTCCACCTGAAGAAACCCTCAGCCCATTGGAGCGACGCAGCTGAGTACTTCTGTGCTCTGAGTGACACAGTGCCTGGGACTGCAGGGGGAGCTGAACACAAACCTCCTGAGACACTGGGAGTCTCAGAGACTCAAAAACTCAACCTGGGGAGTTTTCAAGATCTGTTTTTCCTGTGCCTCCTGCGAAGATGAATAGGGAGGGTAGGCTGAGCCCCGAGGAGTGCTTGTCTCCTGAATAGTTGCTTCAGTGTCAATGTCATTGCCACATTCAGATACACTTTGTCCCAGATGGAGTTCTGACGAATTTCTTCAGGAGAAACTCTTCATTCCCACTCCGAGTCCCACGCCCTCCACTCTGAAGAAAATATAAAGTGCCAGAGCTCTGAAGTAAAAAAGGCAACCACATTTTAATAAAAATGCATTTCTAACATTCATTATGATAATCGGCACTGTCTCTGGTTTTGATCAATGCCTGGATAACTAAAGCACTTGGTTATAATGTTAGCTGACAAGCTATGCAGCATAGATTCTCAATAAGTGTTCTACAGATTCTCAACCTAGATGTGAAGCTTAACTTCTAGTACATACATAGCATCCCACTGTGTGATACTGACATATTTTTAAAGTAACTTAGAATAATATTGAGATTTTTAATCTTGTGAGCATTATACAAAAGTGAACAAATGGAACATAATTCTTAATTCCCTATGACGGCCCCCTTCCAAAAAAAAAAAAATACCCATCAGATTGTAATCGTTTTTTGAAACAGCTATACCAGTGATTTCCAAATTAAATATTTGAGACAATTAATATATAAAAGAATATCAAATACAATAGGATCAACTACTAAAATGTTCTAAGGCATTTTAGTTTGAGTTCACACAAATTTATGATATAATATAAAATTACACATTTAACAAAACTTCCTGTGTTTCAAAAAGCACACTAACAAAGTTTACAGGATGATACTGATGGTGAGTTTGTTGTATATGGCTTTTATTGTGTTGAGACACTTTCCTTCTATACCTAATTTGCTGAGCGTCTTTATCATGAAGCGATGTTGAATTTTGTCTAATGCTTTTTCTGTGCCTATTTATAGAATCATATGGGTTTTGTCCATGATTTTGTTGAGGTGGTGTATCACATTTATTGATTTGCATATGTTGAACCATCTTTGCATGCCTGGGATGAATCCCACTTAATCGTAGTATAAGAATTTTTTTGATGAGTTGCTGTATTCTTTTTGATAATATTTTATTGAGGATTTTTGCATTCATGTACATCAAAAATATTGCCCTATAGTCTTCTTTTTGGTTGTATTTTTGTGTGGTTTTGATATCAGGGTGATGCTGGCTTCATCAAATGAATTTGGGAGAATGGCCTGTTTCAATTTTTCAGAATAGTTTGAAGAGAATTGATATTAATTCTTCTTTAAAGGTTTGATACAATTCAGCAGGAAAGCCATCTGGTACTGGGCTTTTATTTGCTGGGAAACTGCTGATTACTGCTTCAATCTCATTTCTTGTTATTAGTCTGTTCAGGTTTTCTATTTCTTCTTGACTCAGTTTGAGTAGTTTGTACATGCCCAGAAATTTGTCCATTTCCTCCAGGTTTTCAAATTTGTTGGTTTATAGCTATTTGTAGTAGTCTCTAATTATTCTTTGAATTTCTATGGCAGAAGTTGTAATGTCTCCTTTTTCATATCTAATTTTTGTTATTTGAGTCCTTTATGTTTTTAGTTAGCCTAGCTAATGGTTTGTCTATTTTGTTTATTTTCTCAAAAAAAAAAAAACCCTTTTTGTCTCATTGATCTTTTGTATTTTTTCTGTTTGTTTCTATTTCATTTAGTTCTGCTCTGATCTTAATTATTTCTTTCCATGCACTAAATTTGGGATTGGATTGTTCTTGTTTTCCTAGTTCTTTGAGATGCAGCATTAGGTTATGTGAAATCTTTCTATTCTTTTGATATAAGTGTTTAATGTGATAAACATCCCTCTTCATACTGTCTTAGTATCCCACAGGTTTTGATATGACAAACCCACCACAAATATCATCCTGAATGGGGAAAAGTTGAAAGCCTTTCTCTTAAGAATGGAAACAAGACAAGGATGCCCACTCTCACCACTCCTGTTTAACATAGTATTGGAAGTACTAGCCAGAGCAATCAGGCAAGAGAAAGAAATAAAGGGCATCTGGAGTGGAAAAGATGAAGTCAAACTGTCCCTGTTTGCAGATGACATGGTCCTATATACAGAGAAGCCTAAAGACTCTGTGAAAAAGCTCTTAGAATTGATAAATGATTTCAGTAAAGTTGCAGGATACAAAATCAATGTGCAAAAATCATTAGCATTTTTATACTTCAGCAATGAACTAACAGAAAAAGAAATCCAGAAAGCTAGACCATTTGCAATAGTCACCAAAACAATAAAATATCTAGGAATAAATTTAACTAAGGAGGTAAAAGATCTCTAGAACAACAACTACAAATTACTGCTGAAAGAAGTTAAGGACACAAAAAGATGGAAAGACATTTCATACTCCTTGATTTAAAAACCTAATATTGTGAAAGTGTCCATACTATACAAAGCGATCGTCAGATTAAATGCAATTCCCATGAAAATACCATTGGCATTCTTCACAGAAATAGAAAAAACAATCCTAACATTCATATGGAACAAGAAAAGATTTTGAATAGCCAAAGCAATCCTGAACAAAATGAATAAATAAAGCTGGAGGCATAAAGCCATTCCTATATAGGATCCGAACCTGCAGCAGGAGCATTGCTGCGCTCCCAGTGCCTCACTCTCCTGAGCGCACCACGGGGCCGGCCCATGCTATCCTAAGTTTTTAAGTGTACAATTCAGTGTTGTTAACTATAAGCACAATGTTATATCACAGATCTCTAGAACTTATTCATCTTGTATAACTGGAACTTTTCACCCTTCATCAACATCTCTTCATCTCTCCCTTCTGTCAACCCATGGCAACCACCATTCTACTCTCTGTTCCTATGAATTTAGCTATTTTAGATACCTCATGTAAGTGGAACCATGCAGCATTTGTCCTACTATGACTGTCTTATATTACTTAGCATAATGTCACAGGTTAGTCCATGTTGATGCACATGGCAGGATATTATTCTTGTTTAAGACTGAATAATATTCCACTGTATGTATACACCACATTGTCTTTATCCATTCATTCATCAATGAATATTTAGGTTGTTTTCATATCTTGGCCAACATGAATAATGCTACAATAAATATGGGAGGGCAAATATCTTATCAAGATCCTTAATTCAATGCTTTTGGATAAAAACCATAGTGGGATTGCTAGATCATACATTAGTTTTATTGTTAATTTTTTAAGGACCCTCCAGATAATTATTATTTTTTCACAATGGCTGCACCATTTTGCATTCCCACCAATAGTTTACAAGAGTTCCAATGTCACCACATTCTCACCAGCATGTTTTGTTTTTGTTGTTGTTGGTAATAGCCATCTTAACAGGTGTGAGGTGATATCTCGTGGTGATATCTCATTTACATAATAATTAGTGATGTTGAGCACTTTTTCATAGAACTTTTGACTATTCGTATGTCTTCTTTGAAGAAATGTCTACTCAAGTCCTTTGCCCATTTTTTAATCAGGTTGTTATTATTATTATTATTTTCTTTTGAGTTGTAGGAGTTCCTTATATATTTTGGAGATTAACCCTTTATCAAACATATGGCTTGCAAAGATTTTCATTAATTCCATTGGTTTCCTTTTAGCTCTGTTGATTATTTCCTTTCCTGTGCAGAAGCTTTATAGTCGGGATATAGTCCTGATTATCTACTTATGCTTTCATTTTCTGTGCTTTTGGTATAAATCCAGGAATTGGTTATTGCCAAGACCAATGGCAAGATTTTACCTTATGTTTTCTTCTAGGAGTTTTATTGTTTCAGGTCTATGTTTAAGTCTTTAATCCATTTTGAGTTAATTTTGTGAATGGTATTAAATAAGGGCTCAATTTCATTCTTTTGTAAGTGGATATCCAGTTTTCCCAGCACCATTCATTGAAGAGACTATCATTTTTCCCCATTATGTATTTTTGATACCCTTTTTGAAGATCAGTTGAATGTATATGTGTGGGTTTATTTGGGGGCTCTCTAATCTGTTCCATTGGTTTACATGTTGGTGTTTATACAGGGTCACTCTGTTATATTCACTGTAGCTTTGTAACGTATTCTAAACTCAGGAGGTGGGATGCCTTCAGCATTGTTTTTCCTTTCTTTTGCAAGATTGTTTCAGAAATTCAGGCCCTTGTGGTTCTGTATAAATTTTAGAATTAAATTTTAATTTTTTGTCTATTTCTGGGAATAATTCCATTGGGATTTTGATAGGGATTGCATTG